TGACCCAAGTGCAGGACCCAGCACTTGGCGTCGTTGAACTGAAACAAATCAAAGTTTGTTTTGTAGGAGCAAAAAGACTTGTAAGGGTGAACTGTAACAAAACTGTTTAATGGATTTTCAGTGATGGTGTTTTGTCATGTTGCTGGAAAGTACAATTCTTTGTCTTTGCCCATAGTGCGTTGTGGGTTTGGTGAAACCACAAATAAGATGTCCAAAAATACCTTTGTATCTTTTGAATCTCTCCCAAATTTGTCATACTCGGTGTTGCCATGCTTTAATTGGTGTCTTCCTCCAGGAGTAGAATTCTCAGTGCAAAATTTGGCACTGAAGTTCTGTACCTATTGAACTGGTAAAGCCGGGAGCTTCAGAGATTCACAGCTAGAAATGCACGAGACAAGCATGAGCTGATGTGTCTGAACTCATGGTGGTTGTTTTCTGCTTCTAGGCGCCGTTCTGAAAAGCCTCTTTGTAAAACTGGAATTTATAGCAATTAGGTCTTTCAGTTTGTTGGGTAGCCGAATCAATTCTGGGTCGACTTCCACTTTCTGCCCTTTGTGCTCTTTTGGATTACACTAGTGCTGAAGTTGGTGAACTTGTACACTGAGAGAGATTTCTGAAGTACTAAAGCGATCAAGTTGTGATGGGTTTGGTTGGGTTTGGTTTTTTGCTTTCATAGGGTGCTTGCTTTTTTTTTTTTTTTTAAAGGAGATTAGGTGATTTAGTTCAGTCGTGTACATGGATACACCAGCATAATGCCTGGGGGTTGAAGAGTGCAGCATGAGTGAAAACATGCCTCTGGGGAAAGTGTGCTGCTAGTTGAAGCTGATAGTACTGGATGAAGACTTGCTTTTTGTGCAGTAGCCAAATGTTAGATCATTTGCCCAGAGTGTGCCGGTTTTAAACCCTCATTGTTCCAAGAGGTTTATGTGTGGCTGCTTATTCCTCAGGATGATCTTGCTATTAGACTACCCAGTAATCTGGGTAGAAGCAATCTTCAGTGCCGTTGGAGCTGGGCCATTACAGTATATTCCAAGAAACACATGATAAAATGCCATTAAAGGCTTAAATAATACAAAAAACTGATTTTCCAGTTTATGGTGGCAGGCAGAGTAGTGGGATGGAGATGGTAATCTTTTCAAGAGCAGCTTATGCATTTTGTTTAGAGAGGCTGGGAAACTGTAAAGCAAGATCCAAGGCTCTTTCTGACTGCAATTACAGTTAAATAACATGTATATTTTAGACTCTGTGAAAATGTTGGAAAGTACAGTTGCAGCTGAAAATTCAGTTCTAATTCATCATCAAGAACAAGCAGCTAAAATTAGAATGGAAGAGGAGAGAAGAAAGTGGGTAAGTGTGTGTACTTACTCCTATCTCGGTTATGGTGGAGAAAAAAAAAAAACCAACAAAAATAAAAACCCCAAAAAACGATTTACAGAAGATTTTAAAATGCTTTAGGCTATACAGCAGCTATAGACCCTTTTAACATGCTTGTTACAAGTAAACTTTTACTGTAACATTTTCTATACTTAGTATCTATGGATTAACTTTTTTAAAAATGGCTAAGCTCTAGCTGGAATTTAGAATAGAGCAGAAAAACCCGGTTTCTTAAAATCTAATGAGTGCTATAGGGAAGGGATGCCACCCTACGATTAAATGAGAATCCCAATTGTAGATTAATACCTTGCTTTAGGGAGGATGTAGTCAACAATACCGAACTCTGAAAACTTTATTAACCCTGTGTGGTAACATAGGAAGGTCTATGGGATTGGGATTAGAGTGACAGGAAAAGCTTACAAACCTTGAATATTTTGTGGTGCTTTTTTTTGTTTTTTAAATTAACTAGGAAGCAAATGCAGAAAGTCTTTTGTGTCTGTGGGAATGCTACACTTATTACGTTTAGAAAATAATAACTTTATGACTTATTTCATTATATGTATTGTCTATATGTTTCATTCTATTTTCATTTTTGTTGTATCCTCAAAGACCTACCAGCTATTATGTGGTGGTTTATCAATTTTTAAAAAAAGGGAAGTTGAAATTCGAGTTTTAGTGCAGCCTTAAATTGTAAAGTTTAGAAATTCAGGAAACAAATTTGACAAAATAGTATTGTTTTAGTTAAAAAAAAAAAAAAGAAAAGAAAAAGAAAACAGCAGATCCTGTGTGAAAGTGTGGTTACTTTCTTTAATGTTCATTTTCTCCTGTTTTGCACTTGCCCAGGTGTATATATTGCTGTGTCCACATTAACTGTTCTCAGGTTTAGCTTTTTCTCGTGTTGCTCGTCCTGATGTCCCCATTCAGACTGTCTCATTCAAGGCAGTTGTCCACTTCATCTTTGCCAGTGCTTTGAAATTTTTCTTCACTTCCATTCTAAAAGTATATATGCTGTTACTACACGTGGATCGAAGTGATTTGTAGCTGATAGGTACATGGGAAGAGAATAAAAGTAAACAAACCACTTTATGGAGTGCTCTCAAAGTGGTTATATATAGCTATTTCAGAAGTTTTGTAAGGCTTGAATTAACATTTAAAGGTGTTGAACTCTTGATAAAAAGCTCCATAAAATGCAAAGTAGATTTCTGAGTTCAGCTTAAGAAAAGGACTTCTCTTGCAGTCTCTGGGAAATGATAATGTATCTTGAATGGTTAGATTCTGATTTTATCCGTTCCATTAATTTGAGAACAGATAATAGTGCAATAGTTAATGGATTTAGGGACTCCTACAAATATCTAGCCAGTAAAACAAAATTATTCTTGTAAACTTTGGAACTATTTTTAAAGGCCTCTTATGATTCAGAAATGCCTGTCACAGGCAATAAAATTTCTGCTGTAAGTTGGAACAAAGTTTTATGTGTGGTGGTGTGTGTGAGGGGTCTTTGATTTCTCGGTCATTCAGTTGTGGAGGTTAACCACCATTTTTTTTTTCAATAGAACGAGCAAATAGAGCAACAGAAACAGGAACAGCTGGCCCTGCTTAAACACATTGAAGAAGAGAGAGCACGTTTGGAGGCTGAATTTCTGAAGATCCAAACTCAAACCTGTTTGGAGGAGGCTAAGAAAAAAAAAGAGGAGGAAGAGCAAGGTCAGCTGGTACAAAGCCACAGTCCTTCTACAGATGAGCAGAACAAAGTGGAACATGAGGTGAAGAATTGTAGAAAACTGTGTGCAGCTTTTTGGTGATCCTTATTATAAAAATCAAGAGCACTTTGCCAATTTTAAATTATATCAATCAAGACAATAAATTTTTATTTCTTAGGCTATGAATCAGAAGTTCGTACATATAAAAGCTTACTTTTGTCTAATGTAGAAGCTTGTATTTCACATGACATACACTGGACTTTGAATGTTGGATTGTCTTTGCATAGTCCCAGGGACAGCATGTCTGTTAGTAAAATCTGATTAAAGTCGTGTAATGATGATGTGTGTGTACATATCATCTTTTCAAGAAGAAAAAAATATCTTGGGGAGGGGAAAAAGAAAAGGCTACTTAAAGGAGAGGAAATTATTGAGGATGTTGAAGGAAAGCAATCTTTTTTTCAAAATCTTTGAATCATTTGCACAACCTGTACTCTTCTGAGAATCTGATTGCCTTGAAAATGCAGCTCTGTTGGATCATTGCTCCCTGAGTTTGCTACTGGGTACATTTACCTCTTTGAGCTAAGCTGCTGTAAGCACCATTGACTTTGAAAGTGTATGCTTGACTTGGCAAGAGAGACTGTAGCTGTAGGCCATCTGTTCCAGAAACTGCTTTAGCTTCATTGCCTCAGGCTGAAATCTGACAGACTTCAAACGGTGGTGCAGAGCGGCTTCTGTAAACGTAGGGGAAAGAAGATACAGCTTAAGGTTGTTGCTTTAATAGGCTTCTGTGAGTTATTTATATGTGCACTTTAAAATTATTTTATTTTGATTAGACTGGAAATACTACTACTGTGTCAGAAACCAGGAGTCCTAGAGAAGACAGCCATTTACAGATGATTCGTAATTATCAACAACGCCTTCTACAGCAAAATAGGTAAATTCCTTTATGAAATGGAAGTCTGAGTTGCCTGTTTCAAAATAATTTGAATTGCTTTGATTATTGAAATTAATGTTTATCTCTGCACCACTCTGGAAAGATTCCTGTTTTCATTCTATTCAGGCTGCACAAACAGACCGTTGAAGAAGCTAAAAAGCATCTACAGGAGTATCAGAATAAACTGAAGCAAAGATACTTATCTGCTTCTGCAATACCTCTGAGCTCTGTGGAAACAAAATCAATTAATTTAAAGCCTGTCTCAGAACCACTTCTACAGAGGCAAGGGGTGCAACCAACACCATACCAATCATCTGAACAAGTTCACACACAAGAGTATGCGCAGTTGCTACCTGTGTTTTCAGGAGCATTGCCTATGTTGGAAAAACCGTCTTCACAGAAACGTGAAGAGCAAATGCGTAACGTTTGTCCTGGCAGAGCTGTGCAGTTTTTAGAAGCATCAAAATTGAAGCATGGAGAGTTTCTCTTGCCATGTGGCTGTCTTTCACAGGAACAAGTGGGAATGTTGGAAACCTCCAATCATCACATCAGAGAGCCATCTCAGTTCCAGTTACCGTCAGAATTGGTCATGAAAGATGTTGCTGCAGTCAGAATGCAACCAGAAGCATGTGTACAACACGTTAGGTTTGGTTTGGCTGCAGAAGATTCATCTGAGCCTTTGGAAACAGTGTACTTTAAAGAGTCATCTCAGAAGTTGCCTAACCATCAAACAGAGACAGAAGAAGCTGGAGAAGAACCTCCACTTAAGACACCCCTCTTGCCAGCAACAAAGGGACCTCCTATAGTTCAGGCAGCCTCAGCTGATTCTTTGGCATATCGGCAGGGATCTGCAGAGAGCACCATCAAAACAAGCCTTGAACAGCCGCTCAATCTTTCTGAACCCATGACTTTGTCTCATGAAGAACCTAAAGCCCAGGGTGTTAAGGAATTCTTGATATCAAAAACGGGAGACGCATCTTTGTTAAACTATTCTGGTATACAGAATTTAAGGGACAGGGTGTTGGCCTCATCAGAAAGCATCCAAGCTCAGCAGAAGTATTTGAAAGAATTGCAAGAGCAGCTAGATGCACAAAGAGAAGCTCTTCTTTTTAGACAGAAAATACAAGAACAACTACTTTTACAGAAGCAAGAGAAATTGAAGGAACAGATGCAGAGACAGCAAGAGGCTTTGAAAGAATTTCTGAACAAGCAGGTAAGCTTTGTAAATGCTTTTCATGGTGAGTCATCTCGTAGGTGATCAAACTTAAGAGTGAATGCTACCAATTAGCAAGTACCCCATGGATAGTTGTAGGTGATTTATCATAATGAAAGTTTTAATTAGGAGTTGTGATTTGTAATCAGTAGGTCTTTTCTACAAGCCCCAAGAGCGCCGTTTTGTTCAGCCTAACAGAAATAGTATGAACTTTTGTACTTGGTCTCTGAACAGTAACGCCTGTGGAAGTAGTTATGTTGTCTGAAGTATCTGCAGGTATAGTTTTCTTCAGCTCTACAAATGCAGCTCTGTGTGTAAAACAGCTCTTGTATTAAAAATACTTAAGCAGCACCTCAAAGGAGATAGCATAACCATTTTGAATAGATTAATTTTTAAAGTTTATCTCTTTATGTGTACCTGTTGGGAAACTGGTTTGGCAGCTGCGCTCTTGACCTGTAATTTTTTTGCTTGTTTGTGGGTAACAGAAGAGAAATCCAAGTTTATTGAGTTTCTAAAGAAGCTCCTTTTGCTTAATTTGCTTAGGTTTTTTGTGGTGGGGTGTGTGTGTGTTTGTTTTAAAGAGAAGCCATAACTGTTGCCTGGAGTCCCTGTCTCTTGCTTTTGCAGTGTCCAAGCAGCTAAAATTCCTGAATTCAGGAGCTGAAAAACTAAAAGCAGCCTCTTCAGGAATTGTTGCTGTTAAAAATGCTGAGTATTCTGATCTAATACAACAAAGGCCTTGAAAATGTAAATGATTATCTTTTAGCACATTAGGTTTGTAGAGCTAAATAAAATACCTATACATCCAAATGTTTTTGTAAACTAAGCAAGTCTTTCCAGTATCTTGCATCTTGAAGTATTTTTTCAGTCCTCAATATTGTCCTGCATGGAATATACACACGAGAAAATGCTGGTTTGGTAAATGAGTATAAATACAATCTTATATACAGTTGTTTTCCCCTCCCTCTCCTCCCACCTCCTAAGGTGAGACATACCTGTACAAATGAAGAAACGACAGAGGCACAAAAGCCTGACTGGAGTGATAGGACTGACTTTTTCCAAGTCTCAGTAAACTACCAGCAAGAGAATTGCGGCAGGAATACATTTCAGAGAAGTGAAATGATTTCGCAGTGTATCGGTCCAGCTGAGCAAACTGGTAAGGCCATACAGTATTTTTCATTATAATTTTTCTCATTTTGCAGCTGAGATGGAGTTCTCTTCCATCTTCCCAAGTTAATTTGATATATACAGATACAGAGATAGATATATAGATATATATAAAATTGCGACATGCAAAACTTTGTTTTACAGAAGAATCTGAGAAAGTTCTATGTAGAGGACAGAAATGGACATCTTCCAAACCACCTGTGGCAAAAGTGAAATTAGGGCTTGATTTGGAGCAACATGAACTTAGTGTTATACCAGAGGTAGACACACCAAAGAGTTGCAACATTTCTTTTGCAGGTAAAATATATCTATATGGATATATAATATGTAATAAATGCTGCTGTAACTAAGAAATACAGATTGGAGGAAATTAATCTTTTCTGAAGAGTCTTTGAGGTGAATGGTTATAAAATAATAGCTTATATCGTTGCCCGTTTTTAAGGTATAATTTATATACTACTCACTAGCAAAGTGAGTCATAGTTGAGAAAAGCTTATCCTGTCTAGAAAAACATAATCAAAACAAAATTTCACCAAGAGAAGAAAATTCACTGTAATTCCATGACTTAAGTTCCCTGTTGATTTTTCTGTTGGGCAGGGTGTGTGTTAGCAGACAATCCTACGATAATTGTAAGGAGAACAATTGGAGTTGATGGATGGTATTTAAAGGTTTAGCTTTTGAGCATACCAAGAAAGTCAGTGAAATCTTTTAAATAAGGCATTAGTATCAAGTTTCTACAGAAATTTTTAGACCATCTTTATAGGTTTGTTTGGCTTTTTTCAATCACAGAACACTTTGTAAAAAAATTTTGGAGAGCAACTACACAGAGTAATTACCATTTTCTAAGTATGCTACAGTCTGCATGCAATGCTTTGTAATTCTCTGTAAGGAACATTAATTAACAGGTACAACAAACTAATGTTTTCTAAATATAAACTTTTTTTATCAAGTCTCTTCGTAGCTAAAATTCAATGTGTATTTTACAAAAGTTTTAATTTTGTGCCAGTGTTTTTTAAAAGGGCTAAGCAGAAGAATCTGAGTAATTATAGGCCTGTCAGGCTGGCATTCATCTTGAGCAAAACAATGAAAGAGCTGATATGGGACACTTTTTAATTAAAGAAAAATAATTAATGCTAGATGCAGAATAATACTTGTTGGACCAATTTGGTATCTTGATTAGACAACAAGTTTTGTTGGTGAAGGTTTTGATGGAAGAATATGTTTATATTCTCAAAAGCACTTGGCTTGGTGTTACACATCTTAATTAAAAAAAAAAAAGATACATACCAAAAAATTTTTCTGAAATATTATCCAGTGAAATTCTAGAGTAGGGAATACTCATTTGCTCTGTAATCCCATTATGTTCCACAGGTGATTTATTCCTATATTATCTGACCATTGGTCATGGTAGGTAGTAAAAGGTCGAGGGTTTTTTAATTGGATTGGGTGGCCAAAAAGGGCTGTTGTGTGGGGTGGGATGAGGAGAAAACTTTAAGCCAGAGCAGAGAAGTTCTATTGCATCTGGATTTGGAAAAATGACTGAAGGTTTTGGTGGATTTGCAATGTGGAAAAACTCGTTTGAATTTTTTTAGAAGAATTACTTTAGTTGAGTTAGGACTTGTTTTTTGAGAAGTCTATGACCTGTGCAGTCTTTCAACCTGTATAATCCATAGACTGTGTAATGCAAAGGTTTGTGCTGACCCGATATGGCTAACTTTAGTAAAATGGAGCAGTGTACAAATTAAGGGGGTTATTTCTGTAGAATTGAATGAGCATTTTAATGTTTTTCATGAAGTGCAAAACACTGCATTTCTATACCCAAACTGATTACAAAGGTTTTAAATTCAGATAAAACAGCTTCTGTTGGTGGAGAATCTTCCCCCATTTCAACTGCTGGGGAATTTGCATGTGTGAAACGTTACAGTCATGCTCTTTGGGAGGAAGGCAAGTTACCTTCGAGCATAACAGGCCGCAAGGAACAAATCTCTAATGGATGTCCAAGGCAAAGTAAACAGTCAAATAGATTGTTACAAGAGGTGCTCATGATGACTGCTGAAAATTCGTATGATTCAGGTGACAAAATCTTTTTCTTTCAAGTAATTATGTGAATACCATTCAGCACTGCTAATTTTACTGCTATTTATTTGTAGCGCGTGACTTGACTTGTTAAGGAACGTTCAGTGTTATTTTAAAAACTATTTAATTTTAAATGTAAAAAGGGCATTTCAATAAGCATGTGCCTCAGAATGACAGGTTTTTGTTTGGGGCTTTTTTGTGATCCATAACCATTCCAGTAACTAAAGTCCATGCTGCAGAAGACTTCATTGCTAGTCAACAGTTTATAGTCCAAGGTATGTGCTTTGTATCTGTACCTTGTAGAATTGTCTGTAAAGACTTCTTTTGTCCTGTCCTGTTGCCCTGCCCTTACCAGCAGAATCCCATGCATGCCTGGGGAGCAAACTGCTGTAGAAGCCTCAGGTGTGTCTTCCTCCTGAGAGAGGTGCCTTCTGCCTAGACTGGGGTGTTCAGGTTTGCAGCTTTACCAGGTGGGAACCTGGTTTGAGCAGACCAGTGGTGTGCCTGATGCAGTACCCAGTGATTCCTTGAACTGACACAAAGGAATTTAGTGCTTAAAAAGAACTCGGGAGTGTTAACGTGCTAATGTAGATGTCCACTGAAAGATCAGTGTGTATGATAAATTACTTAAAAATATAGTAGAGACAAAAAAAAAAGAAGGTTGGGTGTTATCCTTAGCTCAAAGAATCAGCTGTTATGACAGAAATAAAAACAGTGCAATAATGTAAGGATTACTTTAATTCTGATCTTTTCAGTTCATCTGTGAAGAGCTTTTATTAGAGATCACACTTTTGAGGATAGACTATGTCCGTATGTGACAAAGTTAGTCTGATTCCATAAATTAAACCAAGTTGTTTTTTGTTATGAAGTGGTTTGTGAATGTTCAAAAAAATTTTGTTACAAGCATGTTCTGGGTAGCTTGGCTGGCTTATAAAAGGGCAAAGGTGCCTAGGCTTAGGTAAACAAAGAAAGCGGGCTACTAAGAAGTTGTTCGAGAGATTGGACTAACAAGTGGATATCAAGGTGTTTAATTCAGACTGGTTTCCCTGCCTATACAAATTTAGCTTGTCTCTCCAGTCTTGGAATAATGTTAACTCAAAGGCTCCAGTACTTTCCATTACAATGCACTTGTGTCTCTTTGAATTTCCTGCGAGTTGAAACGCATTCTATCGTCGCTATAATTGAGAAATGCTATGCCGGACTTGCTGCTGTTGCAAATCTTCAGTGGTAAGAAAGACTTCTCTACACAAAGTTAGATAAGTGGAAATGTCCTTTATTAACGAAGCGCACTGGGGACATGGGATCCTTCCCAAAGATGTCCGCCTGCCCATTGCAATCAACAAATATTTATATATTACATTCATACATATTCAGTCTATACAATGCATATTCATTATCATCCTCTCCACGATTGGTGGTTCTTTCCTCGCTTCTGATGTAAATTAGCGCGCAGCCTCTGTCAAAGTCTTCTGTTGTTCTCTTCTGAGTAGGTGGTATTATGTGGGTAGGTGGTCCGTGAGTTGGAGGTCTCGACCACTCCTTGAATTGACCATGTTTGGCCAAGGAACATGTCCTTGGCTCGCAGGCTCTTGGCTTGTACCTGTTTCGGTCATGATTCAAAGATCATACACAATGGGTACCGTAATAAATCCTGTCGTGCAGACATCTTGGACGACAACATATTGTCCTTGTTTCTAACCACTAACAGATTATTGGTTAATGAATGCCTTAGGTCTGGAATTTTACAGGAGTATGCTAGCAGCATTGGCAATACAGATTTTGTTTTACATTTGATCATTTATTCCATTTGAGACTTATTTTCCCAAAATAATCATTAGTGTCTCCTATTAATATTCAGTAATTAGAATTCTTGATATTTAAATCAAGATGGGAAAAGTAAGGGAATTTCCAAGCAGTATCCTAAAATCTTAAATCTGGTGTTTTCTGCAACACTGAGAACTGTTACAAAAAGTTTGCCGCACATTGACTAAAGGAATTGGAAGCTTATTGCGGGACGACAGCATCTCATGGTCTAGTACAGTTTTCAGTACCCATCTAAAATAAATATGTTACTAGAGCTGCAGAGGAGTTTTCAACAACTTTGCTACCTTATGTGTACATCTCTATGAGCAATACAGCTATGTAATATGTACCTCCTGGCTTTGCTAGAAATTTCACTGCCGCCCCAAATCTTAAGATAACTTTTCATCAAGTTAGGGTTTAGACATCCTTTTTAATTCAGTCGGGGTTTACTAGGAATTGAAGTTGTTTTGAGTAAATACATAATAAGCTCATTTTCTTTCAACTTCTTCCTTTAATTCTTAGAGTACTCTTTTTGAAATATTCCTATATGCAAACTTAAATTATCACTGAGGAATTTTGTCTTTGTTAACAATATTTGAATAAAAGGCTTGTATTTTTCTAAGTTGTAGAAGCATTGCTAGATCAGCCATTACCAAATTATTATGAAATATCTTGGTGTAGTGTCTTCTTATGTTAGTATTATATATGAACAGTGCAATGGTTTGTGTAAGAGGATTAGAAAACTTCATGTGAACATCTATATTTAAAAAAAAAGGCAAAGCTTTCTGTGATTATGTATTTAAGAGGATTGTCCTCTTGAGCTGTTCAACTACTGAAGCTGTCGCTGTCAGCAGTATCTTTGTAGTTTGGAGGCTGTGGAGCACTGTAGTACTTTTGGTAACTAGTGCAGTATCTTCAGCAAGAAAAGCTGCAGTCTGTGTTAAACTTTCTGAAGGGGAAATTTAAGGGGCATTTGAAGTTGTTACTTCTGATTGTAGCCTTGATTATTTTTTTATTTAACTGGGTTTTTAAAATTTTTTTTGCTACTTGATTCTAACTAGAACTTGTTGGCAGTTTTCCCATGTTTTCCAGATGTAATTGTATCTCTAAAGGTGAGAGCAAATGAGTGCTTTGCACATGTGATCTTTGACCTTATTCTTTGAGGTTATGTTCTTGGTAGTTTCTTCCTTCGATCGAATATGTAAAGCTTTACAACTTTAGAGTCGTACTGCTTTCGTGATGACAGAACCACTAGATGTGCACAAATCCCATTAATCCCTGCTCATGTGCTTTTTCCAAATAAAGCATTAAAGATAAAAAGATAAAAGTTATACAGGTTCTTAAAAAGATAAACTTGGTAGATCTGCTTGGGTACTTTATCAACAAAGATGAGTTTCCATTGATATGAGACTTGTCCTTGGGTGACAGGCTTTTGTATTTATTTCTATAATTAGCTGTATTTCTTTGCCGCAGTTATTACAAGAAGAGAAACAAGTTTAACCCTCTCAAATTTAGAGGCAGACATGTCTGAGTGTAAAACGGACTGCTTCTGATCAGGGGAGGATGGATGCCCGTGCTCACCACCGAGTGGTTACAAGTGCTACAGCAACTGATCCGCTGGTTGGCAGCCAGAGATGACACGTGACTGTTAAAGCGATGTTGCAGTAGGTGCCACCAGTGAGGCTAAGATTCGCGTTGTGCTCTCTTACCATGCCACAGATGTATGACAAGATGAGTTAGGAACTTTGGACACTTAATATTTATTCTTCTTAATTCAGTTAAAATGGCCTAATAGAATGCAAATTGTTAATACGGAATTGCAGAGTAACCCTGCAGATGAGGTGGGCAGATTGATGACATCAACCTAATTTCCTTAGGAAGTCAGCCTGAAAATAGTGACCAGATCTGATACGTACATCCCCTTCACTGTTCTCCTTCATTACATATCAACAGGCTTGTCTCTCTTTGTACATCTTCATCTTTAACAGTCCCCTTAAGCAGTGTTCCAGATGTCATTATCTTCGTGTATTGCTGCCCTATGCAGAGATGTCACTCCAAGCATGATTATTTTTTGTGTGATCCAAGTTAACCGAAGATTTCAATTTATTTTTAGTAATCCCAAATATTGCTTCATAATTCATTAGGGTGACAGATTGTCTTATCCATCACCAATTTAGCAAACTAGCGTGGAGTACAATTTTTTTTTTGTATGTCTACATGGTTGGACTTGGACTAATCCCTGTTTTTATATTGTCTTAACTGAGTGGTTTGTTGTCAAGTCTTTTGTCTTTCAAATTGCACTCTAAAATAATTGCTGCTATTTTACTGCAATTTCTGTTAAAAAAAAAAGAAAAAAGCAAGCAGTCTGGATATTACAGACTAAATTTTTAAATACAAATTCTTTGTCACAGTGTGGTGGCCAGAAGGCTGGAACATGAAAGTCCCATGTTGATGTCAGAAAGCTGTGAGGAGCAAGAACCTTGCGCTATTATTTTGGAGGGAGGAGGGAAGAACAAAAAACTCCTTTATGAGTCACCAAATACGTTTTTATATATATTTTTTAAGGATATTAATGTAATAAAGTCATGAGATGTGAGCATGTTGTATTTTTAATTAAATAACTTAGTTTATAGCATGAAATTGCTACTGTTCATCCCTTGCATTAAAACCACAAGAACAATGCAAGTTATTACAGTACAGTAATGAAACATTTGTAGCATAGCTCTCCATAGAATTTATATACAAGAGGATATTAAATGCTTGAATCTCATCTCATATGTATCCTAAATTACTACCTGTCATGCTGATATCCTTTAGAAAATAAAATCATTTCTTTCAGAAAAATAGGTAATCGTGATGTAAAGGTATCGGGAAATGGAGAATTCTTTGGTAGCTTGTTCCAGCATTTAATTTTTTTGTCAAATTATAAAATAAATGGTCTGTTTCCAGTTTCTGAATGTCCACCAGCCATTTCTAGCCACTGCTTTTTGTATTACTTTGAGTTTAGAAATCTTTTGTACTGTGGGGTTGTTTTTCCTATGGAGCTGTTTAAATATCAAGAGATGATATAATTGCAGTTTTCATGCTGTTTCAAGGAATTTTTTTCAAAGCCTTGCTCGTTTTCTGGATCCTCTGTCGCTTATATTCTGCTCCAAAGAAGAGCAGACATCTGCAGTGTATATAGACTCAGTCACACTACTGCCACATCCAGCCAAGGAGCTTGTTGCCACCTTGTTCTACTCAAACCTTAAAAGTTTTCTTTCCTGTGAACCTGAAGGCCTTTGTCATGTACTTGTAGTAAAGGGATCAGAAACCAGTGTTCTGTGTTCTTAGATTTATAATTTTGTCTGTATTGGGACAGTGTTGTTTGCAGACCCAGCTTTGCAGGAGGTTGAGGTAGTTTTTACCAGTGCAGTGCTACTGTGTTTCTTTACTGTTCTTCCACACTTTGTGTTATTTGCAGACTCTATTGCCGACAGCCTTGTTCAGTTACTGGTCAAAAAGTCATAAATGATCAGGATCATGCCTGCTAGAAGTTTCTGGAGAATTTGTGAGTGTGCAGGGAAAAGAAGCCACTTGAGAATTTATTTACCCTTTATTTTGAGAACATTCAGTTAGCATTTAATGTAATAACATAGTGAATGAATTAAATGGTTAACTTCTCTTTTAATCCAAATAAATATATTTTAGATATATTTCCTTTCATATCTTGTACTTTCTCTTGGAAGAGTACTGGATGATAGTGACTGTAGGAAACCTTGGATTTATTTTTATTTCCCCCTCCCTGAAATGAATTTCAATGTTTCACGCTTATGGAGACACAAGTATCACATCATAGAGATACTTCACTGCTGATGGCTCACAAAGGAAACTTCTCCCACTTTTTTTGTATAGTAGGAAAAATAGAACAACTGGACTCCACATCCAGTAAGAAATTGAGTTTCACTTTACACAAGGTACAAACTAGTGTTAGGATTCACAGTGTGTTACGAGATCTGCCTAAGTGTAGAGCCTTAAAAATGCTAGGGATTTAAAATGTCCGTGTCACTTGCAGCCCTTGTAGAATTGGGAGGAAACATAAGTACTTCACTTCTAATGTTTAATTTCAGTTTGATATTCAGCACTTCTTTCTTGAAAATTATTACTGCAAATAAGAATACTTATTTTAGAGTTGTTTGGCAATTAATTTACAGTCTTAGAATTGCCAGACTTTGAAGGTGCTTGTCATTGTATTTTTCTGGTGCTGCTACAGTACTACTTCTGCACAGATACTGATCTTATTTTTAAGTGTAAGAGCATTATGGGAAAGGTGATTCAGTTCTGTGGTAGTAGTCATGCTATAGTTAAGTAATTCAGCGCTTCGGATTTCTTTGATCTACTTAGAATGTCTGTCTGTCTTTGTAATCATTGTAATGGTAGAGGGCAAAAGATGACTCCCACCCCGATTAAATGATTGTAGTAACGCTAGCAAAGCCATGTTTCATTCTGGAAAGCCAAAGCAGGAATTTCTAGCTCTTCCTTCATGCTCTGCAGAGAACAGTCACGATAGTTCGAAATTTTAGGAAGGCTGTTCAAGGAGAACCTCTGGTTGCCAATTAAATTGGTGGTACAGTGGAGCAGAAAGTATGTTGTAGGCGAGAAGAAAGTGGTAAGGATGGGTAAAATCAGTGCCCTACTAGTGGGACAGCAGCAGTAGGGCACTACTGCCATCTGGTGTTCCAAAAAAAATTGCTAACTATGAACTAGAAAGTTGCTTTCTATTCCTTATTGTTTCTACTGCATTTGTGTTCAGGCCAGTCCCAGGATTCTCAAGTGGTTCAAGATTCAGCAGTTCTTGCTACTGAAATTGGAGAGAGAGTTACAACGTGTTCTGGACCATCATTCAGACTTGATAATACGGTTAGTCATACAGTGTAACTTACTCTGTCTTTTCTGACGAAAACTTTGTCTCACGGTGGGGGGCTCAGACTGGGTGCGGTGCTCTGGATGCAGCAGTATAACAAGGTCCAAGGAAAGCGAGGCAGTCCCTGCCCTGGCTCTGTTCAAACAGCTGTTGTTCCTCTTGGCTGCCAGGGCACAGCGTGGGCTTATGCTCAGCTCTGCCTGAGAGACTCCTGGGCCTTTTTCACAGGGCTGCTCCCCAGGCAGGCTCCACCTCGGACTGGTGCTGGGCTTTGCGTTTGCTCCTGCTGAGCTTTGTCCTGTTCCTGTAGGGCCCTCATCACGAGGTCCTCCTAGATGTCAGCCCTGCCACTGAGTGTATCGGGTGGTCCTCCCCGCTTAGCGTTTCCTCTGTGACCTTGATAAAAGTATGGTGTCACCTCCTCTGGGTCATTGCCAAAGGTGTTGCCTGGGCAGGTCCTAGGACAGAGCCCTGTGGTATTCCACTTGTTGCCCGCCTCTAGGTAGAGCGTAACCCTTTAATCGCTGTCCTCTGAGCCTGATCATCCAGCTAGTTTTTTACCCATCTGGCCGTCCATTCATCCAGGTTGTGATGTCCAAACTGGGATACAAGAATGTTGTGAGACACTGTCAAAAGCTGTGCCAAAATCAACACCAATTATATCCCCTGCTTTTTCCCTCACCCGTCGTTTTGTCAGGAGTTAAAAGCAGTATTTAAAAAAATGCTATGTGTAATGTGTATAGAAAATTACTCTTAAATGTACGTGTTTTATATGGGTATGTAAATATATTTATATAAGGTAGTATATAATGAAAAATGTAGGCGAAGGTGTCTTAGATTTTTGCTTTTATTTTCTTAATGCACGTTTTAATTCAGAGTTTCAGAAGAAAGGGTCACAGCTAATTCTTCAAAATTTGGAAGTACAAGAACCCTCATTCTCTGTTTTGTGACTTTGTAGGGCTTACCTCAAAATTAAGGAAGATAATATTTTAGGATATTTTGTGTATTTTTACTTTAATTTCATAGAATTAAATATTTATGTCAGCTTCCTGTATACAAAAGGCTCAGTATTGCAAGTACTTGTAAAGTTCCTGAGTTTTTCTATGTATTGTATATGTGTTCCTCTGAGATCTACAATTGTACTGAAGTGGGTCTGTGATGAGAAATAGCCAAATCTGACCACCAGAAGATAAAATAATCTTCCAGGTGTCATGATTTGTATGCAGTTCTGAGAGGCTTTATAAGTGAGTGTGTGTGTGTGTGTGTGTGGAGGGGAGGGGAGGGGAGGTGGCTGTTGGGGAGCGATGTGTCTGGGACATGGGGTGTGAATGTTTTGTACTGAGCAGTGATGAATCTGTACTTGCCTGACTGTGCGAAGCATGAAGGCTTCTACACTTGAACTGAGCTCAGAATAAAATGTGTGGTTTTAAAGCTTTAGTTACAGATACCCAAATACACGGTAATAGGGGTGTTGTTTCGTCCTAGGAAGCACTTTGTAAAGTCGTATCCACCAACTTGGGTTCAGAGGCTTTCATGCGAGGAATATCCTGTGATTTATCTTCAACAGTTTCCACTGGAAGCTTTTTGACTAGTGAAACGTTGGATGTAAGCCCTGTTGACACTGGTAAGCGTTTGGTTTTTGTTGTTGTTCACAAAGGAAAATTGTGTGTTCTCTTTGTTTTACAGCAGAATGGGTCTAACTTACTGAAAGAGGCTAATGTGGAACGTCACTTAGGAATGAATAATATGTCTAACAGTTGAGTGTGACTAGAGTTTTATTATGCGCTCATTATTTTTTTTTTACTTTTATAATTAACCTTATAACACATCTGCTTTGGCAAAGGGTATTTTGAGTTTTATTAAGCAACTAACACTAGCAGTTTTGAAGTGGCAAAATTTTTTTAAAAAGCCTGATCCCCAAATGATATACTATAAAAATTTTCTGATCAATATGTATCATAGATCGTTACAGAGCTGTGATTGTTGTCTTGCTGTTAAAGAGAATTGTTCCAATATCTGCTTGTCACCATAGTAATTCTTAATAACTTATTTGTGAAAATGTCATTTGAATGCTGTATTGACTTTTAGTAGTTTTCTGGGAAATAGGTGTTCATATCCTTTTTTGCTTGCAGTCTACCTCTTGATCTTGTTAGCTTTTCATAAAAATAATTCATTTATAATAAATACATAGTTGTTCCTCTATACTGATATTATCACTTGTGAATTTGAAAGTGGTTAGATAGCGACCTGTGGATTTATTTACTTTAAGGCTTAATATTGTGTTGGCCTGGCACATATCTGATCTCGTAAACAACGATATGTGTATGTAAGTTATTCCACGTTTATAGAGACTACAGTTTTTACAGCCTGAGATTTCAGTGGCTCGTTTTAACTCTGATGTTCTAACCTGGTGTTATTTTGAGTAATAATCTCCATAACTCATGTGACAAATCTGTGTTTTATTGAGGGAAGAAAGCTAAAGCAAATTCTAAGATCATTTGTTTGTAGCTTTTCTTTTCTGTTGTTTTTTAGTTGAAGAAAAATACCAAAGGTTTTGGTTACTCTACATGAATAAATTTTTCAAGTCTAGCTGTGTTTTCACTGTACACTCGGTGCTTAATAATGACCTGTTCTGGTAGCTTTGAGCAGTTCTGTAAGTGTGTGGACAGAGGGGTTGGTGTGCTAACTAGGAACGCGATTTTTGTTTCCTCGATTCCCTCAGATTTCTTGTGTTGGTGTTGGACAATTTCTGTTTAAGCATGAATAAAACTACTGCCTGATGTCATAAAGATACTCAGGATCACGTTAAAGGATTCACACATTTATGTGCGATAGGAAGTAAAAATATGCTAGCTAGCATAAAACAACAGTTGGGGTTTTTTTTCTGATTTTGTTTCAGTATTTCATAAGTCTACATACTAGAAAAGTGCTAAGCTGTACTGACTACTACCTAATTAGATATTATCAACTTGAATTTGTGGGAGCATTGACAGGAGACAATTAAAGAAACAAATCCCCAGAGCTCTTGGTGAATGTTTCAGGATATTAAGGAGTGTCTCTTCAGATGACTTCAAGTGAGTGGTTTCTATGCAAAACTGTGAACATCTAGCTTACTATTTCAGGGTTGTCTTCTGATAGTACGGAAAACCAGATTTTGAGAGAGACAGCAAGCTGCCCTTGGAACAACTCGCTGCCTTTTACCTTGCCACAGAGGCAAGAGAATTTGTCTGGAGCATCTGAAACTCAGTTGCCTGAAGGAAAGGTGTGCCTTTATAAAGGAAGCCAGATACAGCAGGTCTTGGGGAAATGTGCTGGAGACTTGAACTCTTACTCAGAGGACAATATGCGCTTCCAAGGTATTTGCCATTTTAAAGCATTTTTGTGCTGTGTTCTTATCGTACAGAATGAGGAGGGAGGAGTTTACTCAATGTTATGTGTTAGTCTATATTTATATTCAGCTGACACTTTAAAGTCAGTAAGGATTCTACATGCGAGAACTTTAACGTTCTTCATGCTTTGCTTTATGTACATGTCCACATAGTGTAGTGCAAAAAAAGACAGCCTGCTCAGGTATCTGTCTGATTGTAGTTAGTTCTGCGCAGCTTCCTGCTACTGTGGCTGGACTGTTTGTTATCTGTGCCAATTTTATCACTTGTTCACGCACAACTTTCCCTTCAGGAAGATAGAGACAATAATATATAGTATTTTATTATTCACGAACGGTCACATAGTTGATGCAACACTGATTAACAGCCTGGTGGGAGTTCTGTGCTCTCTAGAAAAATGAAACTATTCATGAAAATAAGAACATCTTTATTAGCTATCATGAAAATAATCCCAGTATTTTAATTTGAACCACTTCCTTCTGGGATGCTTGAAATCTACAATTATAAAATTACAGATTAATCTAGACTGGGAAGGACTTCTGATTATATGATCCAAATTCTCCTCCCTGCTCACAGCAGAGCCAGCTTAGACCAGGTTGCTTAAGGCCTTGTTCTGGCAAGTTCTGAGTGTCTCCAAGCAGAGATATCACACACCCCTGGGCAACATTTTAACAACTTCCTTCTTTTCTTCTCTTTTTTTTTAATTGTATCCAACCAGAATTTCCTGTGTTCCATCTTCTGTCCATTATCTCCTTTTCTTTCACTGAGCAATGCTGAAGAAGCCTGACTGCATCTTCTCTAGGCTGTCTTACAGTGTAGTAGACAGCAGAGATTTCTGTGCCCCTTCCCTCATGCCCCCAAGTCTTTTCTTAGTACTGAACCAACTTGGGTTTTTTGCTTCTCTCTGGACAGCAAGTGCTTCATCCTTCCTTTATCATCCTTGTGGCTCTTCATTGGACTTGCTCCACTGGGTCACTGTGTGTTTTGTACTGGGACGCCCATGCTACTTCTGGTGGAGTCTTGCAAGTGCTGAACAGAGAGTTTATGGACTTCAGCTTTGCATTAGAGAAAAAAAAATTGCATCAGAGTAGCACTTCCTTGCTGCTTTTTGTACCTGCATTGTATCAGAGTGACAGAATTGGACGTCGTAAAGATTTTTTTTTCTTTACAAGCGAATATTTTACGTGCAGATTTCTGTAGGCTTTATTTACTGCATATAGAAGTACGGTGTGATATGTCTGTTGTTTTTATGAGGGGGGGGGTTGGTTTGGGGTTTTGTTTGTTTGTTTTTAAAATCTTTTTTTTTTTTAAATAGCTCTAGCAGCTGAACTTGATTTTCCTGAAATGGAGAGACCTTTTCCGAACTTCCATTACCAGGTCTTTCAGCCTTTGGAACCAAGTCTTGACTCTGATACTTCATCATCCTGTTCTCAATACAGAATTCCACAAGACAGCAGAGAATTTAGCAAGGTACTACAGAAAAACTGATGGAGCGAAATACGTTGGCTTAAGATTTTTGTAAGATGTAAATCCCTATACTGTCTATTTAGAAGAAACACAATAATAGTTTTTGACATACTTAGAACTGGAAGTGTTTTTGCTGGTTGTAGCAAAAATGTGATCTAAAATACTGCCTTTAATTTTTTATCCTTTGTATTTCTGAGAAAATTAATCTTAAATTAAGATTATTATTTTTTCTGACACTAGACTTCAAAACTTTCAACAAAAAATCAAGACATGTCTACGTTTCTAGAAGTGGGAAACTCCAGTTTGAATGTCCAAAGCAGCAGTCTGCCTTCTAGCCTTGAAACAAAAGGGCCAAGCAACATTACATCAGAAAAAGAGTCTATTAAAGAAAATGTTACTCCAGGTACGTACAGTATAGTCAGATAAATGCTTTCAACATCAACCTATTGCCAGTATGTGAATACCAGCCCTTAAGGTGGGTTTGCTGGTTTGAAACTGGGAACTCACTCCTCACTTACTCTATCAGCCTTACTTTGAAATGTCTTAAGTCTGCTGCTGCTCTCACACACTGTCTTCACCACCACCTTTCTTCCTATTTACTAGACTTCTCATTATACCTTACTGAAAAGTCTCATTGTGGAGGGACTTTTTAAAGTTGCAATGCTGTTGTGCTAGCTAGAATTTTGACTTTGGATAATTTTTGAAACAGGCTCTGAAGAATCTTTTCACCCACTGCAATTAGAATCTACCCTGAGCGATCACTGTCAGAGTGCTGACCGGCTAGTGGACCTTAACGCTATGTTACAGAGATCTTTTGAACAAACCCCTGGAACTAACAAATGGGGCGATGAGAACTGTATTTCATCTCCCAGAGAATACGAAGAACTGGCAAGAAAGACAGAATGTATTAATCTCCAGTGTTCAATGGAAGATCTGCGAAACAAAAGTCTGAATCCACTGGAAGAGCAAAAATTGTTTTGTCAGCTAAATACCACACCAGTCACAGTGGGCGAAACTTTCCCTCAAGGCTTATTAAAAGAGACTGTGTCTTCTGAAAAATTACCTGTGGAGGCATTTGATAAGGAGTATGTGAAGCTTCCTGAAAAATCATTTCATGTACATGAAGCAAGTAAAGCTGTGGAGCTGGATTCTCACTGCGATACAAATGTGAAGGAGCCAGATGAAGGCTTTCCAGAAGAACAAAAATCTTTGAGGGTTGCCAGAGAAGCCAACTTGGAAGACTCAGGCATCTGTTCACAGGCTGTGGTACAACAGAATGGTTCTTTCCTGGAAAGACATGAAAAACATTCTACTTCTGTGCCCAGAAGCTCGTGTCTTATTCCAGTCTGGGTGAGTAAAACAGATTCCAAAAGCAGTAATTTGTGCAGGCTTTTCTGTTGTTGCACCAAGTTATTTTAGACCTTTAATACCTGAAAGCTTGGCAGATGTTGATTTTTAGGATTTGAATTCAAGACTTGCATGTTTCCTGGAATTCTTCCCTACTCCTTTCAGATCATAGCACTGAAATAATTAGCAGTAGCTAAAATGAGCTGGAGTTGCAATGACTGCGGAGGAACTATAGCATCTCTGTTGCATCTTCTTCTCTAGCATCAGTTGGTGCAGCGTATGCATCTGCCCTGCATGGCACGGTTAGTTAGCTGAACAGCCCCTAGCCCCCTTTAGAAACGTGAAGGAAGTAAATAATTTTAAGTATAAGCAAACTTAAGGAAATAGCTTTGATGTAGCTTTTTTTTAAAAAAAAAAAAGTCTGCCTTAGAATGAAGTAATGTAAACTTGAGGGGAGTGGATGAGAGGTGGAGTCTTTGTTGTCGTTTCGTTGCTTTGGGTTATTTGGGGGATTTTTAGCACTGTATAAAATACTTTGTATTGGACTGAACTTCCAGGGTTTCCATACATCAATACCCCAGGCAAAGTGCCCTTTCTGTATTTCATTTATTGCTTGGGGGCAGATTTTCTTTCTTCCACATGAATGAGCCTCCTCTTTCTGATAACAGCTGTTATAATTCCTGGAAGCACTGATTTTATTATTATTATTACTACTACTGATGTCCTGTGTAATTTATTTTCTAGGAGACTGAGTCAGGGCGTGGTATTATGGAAGAACCTGAACTCACTCTGATAAGCTCAAACGACATCAGTATTGCAGAATCAGACATTGAATGTACTAACCAAGAGAAAAATAAGGAGAATAAAATCAATAACCCAGCACGTGTGGATCAGTCTGAATTCAGTGTTTTTACTGAGGTGAGTCTTTGTTATCTGATGTAATTCTGATTTTAATTTGGTCTTAATCATAATAAGGAGAGGCCCCACTGTAGCAGTTAATCCACTGTGGCAAAACAGGAGAACGTTAGGGTTGTCTGAGCTTAGCAAGTGCTTGGATCATCTTGTTTTGATGTGACGTTTAAGGGACAGATATAACAACTTAAATTTGGGCTATTCCTTAATGTCACTACCTTGTCTTACCGGTGTAGGCAGAGTTTGGAAGGACTTCTGCTGCTGAAAAGCAGAACCATCTTGCTGGTGCCTGCAAAACTAAATTGTATCCTGTTAGTTGAAGAGTTGAATGAGAGGAGGGGGTGGGACAAAACAAAACCTACAAACTGAACAGGAAGAAAAGGAAAAATCCCCCTACCTAGTGGGTGGAGCTGCACTGGCCCACACAGCAGTGTGAGGTTTATGGAGAAAATATGATCAGCTCGTCATACTGCCATGCTTGACTTGCCTGAGGTATGCTTTCTGCTGTTTGCTTACAGGCAGCAAAGGCCATAAACTGTAGAGGGACTGGTTTGTAGTGAGAAAACAGGTTGGGTGCTCCAGCAGTAATGTAGAACCAAGTTCTGTGTGTCAGATGAACAGGTGAAATCATGCTTCAATTGCAGGAGGAATCTAGAGAAGATCCTAAAAGTGTTGAAGGATGGGTCTTTATAAAGTAATGGTGATGTGGGTGGGGTGGCTGAAGGCTGCGCTTCTGTGGGTGTTGCCTTCCAGCTGGGGATGGGGGAAGGAGACAGCAGTGAGGGTGATGGGGGAGAACTAGCGAGAACAGGAGGAAAGAAACGCATCTGTTGGTGTGAAATGATGCAGCCCTGTATTAAGGACAAGCAAATGAAATTTGTTGGGCAAAGGGTCTTTAATACATTGCTTTACAGTTTTAAAATGTTTTTAGAAAGTAGCTTTTTAATACTCGCTAAGGCAAAAGAGTATGTCTTGTCTTTGCATCAGGTCTATGGTACAGTACGACCACTTCACTCAAATTTGTGGTCTATTTTAAGCATTCCAAATCACTGATTCCTTTTGAAACAGGAGCAAGCATTTTTCCCACTAGTTCCAGATGCGGATTATTCAGTGTTGGTGAGGCCTGACAGTTCTTCCAAAGCCCAGAGCCCCAATGACAGTCACTTTCCATCACATCAAACTGCAGGTAATTCACGTAACTTCAACGTACTGAAGTTGAGAAAGTCTTAACTTATAGCGTTAAAATCATCAATAACATACACCTCTCCTTGGGAAAAAATAGAGCTTTTTACTTAGGCAAGTGTGTCTTGCTCTTCAGGCTTGGTTTGTAGTGCATTTGACTCAGGTTTAATATGCGTCTTACTGGCAAGGAAGTATTGACTTGTCTCCTGCCATGCCAGCCTGCTTTTCATGAAATTCATGGTATCTACAATACACTTTTTTTACTCGGTAACTATTTAATTTTTAAGAATTCTGTGGTGGTTTGTGGTTTGTTGCCATATAGTTTATGCACCTTTGCTTGTGTTTTTTATTTCCTGTTAGTCCCCAAGCTCCATAGCCAAAAAATGTCTTTTTTTTTTCTGATGATAGTGTAGAACATCAGTAAAATATTGACATGTTTTTTTGTCCAAGATGAACAGCAGTAACATGAAAGACAGGAATTGACAGAACTTAACCGTGTTAGGGACTTCCTAGGTCTTTGATATGTTTTGAGGCATCAAGGTGCTTTTGATGCAGTATTTATGACAGAATTTGTTGTGGCAGACCTGCTTACAGTTATTGGATTCTGTAGGTCTGAACTGCTGCTGGTTTTGTGAAATTACTCCACATTCACATCGTCATTCTCCTGGTGTGATTCATAAAAGTAGAGCTCAGCATTTGAGGAGAAACACACTGAAATGCATGGCTTGCTAGAGGTGATACTGCTCGTTACTGAAAGTGAGAAATGTTCAGACTTTTCATGTTCTTTCACAGTGATGCTGCTGGAGTTTGCAGCTACACCTGGAAGTTTGCAAGAATCTTTTTTAAAAAGAAAGAAGAACTTCATCCAGAAATCTCTGAAAAGAGTAGAAGAAATAAAAAATAGAGAGAAAGAAAGTGAAAAGCCAGAAGCCAGACAGTTTCAAAGAGGAAAGTCTGAGAAGTTAGGCAGGCAAAAGGAGTCTTGCCAGATCTCTGGTAGGTTTATGTGGGGACAAGACATAGCATTAGGTACCCTTTTGGTTGCTGTTTTATATCAAAGAATAGATTTCACATTTGTTGCATCTTTGCTCTTGCAGACTGGGATGTTCTTTCATTTGGTTTCTCAGGGATGCAGGGAGCTTCCCCCCCCGCCACTGTCTGGCTGTCTCTGGTGCTGTAAAGGCCCTTGTGGGTCCTCTTTGTATTTTCACGCTCTGCCCACACATTTTCAGTCGTAAAGTCTCTCTGCAAGTAATAGTTGTTTATCAAAGAACAACCCTATTGAGCGAACTGATGCATCGAATGGCTGTTGGTGGGGAGCTGGGAGCCGGCTGCGGAGAAGCACGGCTGCTTCGAGTGCAGGGAGCTGCCTGATGAGTGAGACTGTGAAGATTCACTTTTAACACAAGATGTCATCTCCATCGTGTCCATTCTGCTAGCTGATTTCTTTTTTAAAACTGTTTGAAAACCTCTCATGCTCTCGAGTTAGCAGGACTAGAGATTTAAATTTATGTTTGTCTTTTTTTTTTTTCCTTTCTTTTTTTTAGGAAAAAAAGGTGCAGTTGCCAATCAGTTGAAGAAAGTAGGAGAAGTGAAAGTGTCTTCTCCAGAGGACAGGAAGTCTGGAGAAATTGAAATGCACCAGCGTACTTTAAGGTATTGCAGGAACACAAGTGGGAGAAGTTTGGGTTAAAAAACAAAACGGGAGTAGCTCATCTGTGTCTCTTGAAAGCTACTGGTCAGAGCAGTCTGTGATCTTCCAGTTGGACCCGATGCTGCTTACCAGGAAACAGCTGGGAGAGAGGAGCCAAGTGTGTGTGATACAGGTACCTGTGGGGAATTCCCTTGGACAGCTGGCGGTAGGAAACAGGACGGGCAGCCTGCTCCTGTCCTGTGGAGGCAGCTGTGCCAGTCAGTGCATGGCACTAGACTGAATTTGAAGCAAAGTTCACAGCCACACTTGGGCACTTGGTAATGGTGACATGCAGCAAGTACAGCTCCTGAACGGGGTGTTGGTTTGATGCAGCTGAAGAGGAATTTGAAGATTAGTGGAAAGCTGAGTCAACATTTCCTTTCTTAATTTCTAAGCAGTTGAGACCTGTAAACCCTTAATCTTGTTAATTTATTCCAGCTTTGCCACTTTCATCTTGACGACACAATTTTTTTTTCCTACTGTTTTGACAGACTTTATAATCAACTTGCAGAAGTAAAAATGAGAAAGGAAGAAAAAACAAGGCAAGAAACTTACACTAAAAACAGAGAAAAGGCCAAAGAGTTTCAAAAGGTAATAGCCTGCTAAGATGTTGTCCTGCCTGGTCGGTTCTCATGATTTCACTGAGCTTCGAAGCAGACTAATTAAGACACAGTTCTGTGGTGTGAGTGCAATTGAAACAGACCATCAAACCAGCCTGGATTCTAATGCTGCTGGTGTATCCCACTTCAGAATTTCCTTGTCAACACTATGAGTTGAAATCTTCTCTAAAAAGCGTGTCTGTCTGCCTCAGGCTGAAGTTTTCTGGTGACTTGAGGTTGAGCAAAAAGGCCGTTGGGGACTCCAGCTGCTAGGAAGCCCACTTGGCAGAGGAGTGGCTGGGTTTGTCAGTCGTCCAGACTTGGCTGACTTGCCATGATAAGGCAGTTTGGGGTTTGGCTGCTTTGGCTACTCCAGGTGGCTTAAGATTCTGCCTAGGTGAGTGCCCCTGAACGTCAGGTTGCAAGAATCTTGTCTGGGTTTGCCCGCTGTTGCTCTGGAAGAGGGGGCTGAACCCAAGGGCTCTAGCTGTCAGTTCTCCCTGGCCCTGGCTGGGCCTTGGACAACGGGAAGGGAATGCTTGGTAATCCTGACAGGCTGGGGCTCCAGGCTCACCTCCTGTCTTTAGCACTGACCACCTCAGTGCTGTTGTGGTGGAATAAAGTGCTGCTGCTCTTGTATTGTTTTACAGATGCCATAATTAATAGATGGTTAAGAGACATGAGCACACCTTCGCCCTGACATCTGCGGGCTTTTTGGAGCAGTAGCAGTAACTGAACCCATTGCCCTGACTTACTGTCCGTTACCGATGCCCAGGTTACACTGTGTCCCAGTTGTGCCCACCTAACTACACTGGTTTTAGTACAGTCACTTTTAAGCTACAGAACTGTAGTCTCTTTGTTTTATTTGCAGAAAATGCTGGAAAAACTACGAGCCAAGAAGACTTGGAAAGCACCGTGATGGGCAGAAGACTTCAAGGAGCAAGGAACACTGCTGTCTGTACTGATACAATCCAAGAGACCACTGAGTAATGCAGGCTTCATTAAGTTAATTGTGGAGACATTGGAAACCCACAGCTTTAAGCTGTAGGAAAACTGTAAGTAAACAAACCTCATTTTTTACTGAGCAGATTAACCACTGCTTTAAAAGGGTTTGCCTCCTGACATTGTGAAAAGCCTTTCTTCACATGTGCTACAGGGACCTCACACTAACTTCTGTAATATGTGTATAAAACATTTTCAAATAAAGCTTCTTTTTAAGACTACTTGAATTCTCAGGATGCAAGGCATTTTATTCTGTCAAGATGAAATTATCTGATCTATGCACAGTGTGATGTAACATCAGGAAGTGGGGATTCCTGCAGTTAAAAGGTACAGCTTAAAGCATCTAAAGGGAGGAAGAGCATGAAACCCTTAACCTTACATTCCAACTGTAGTTTTTCTATCCAGAGTAATTACAGCATCAGGACAGATTCAAAACCCAGCTTTTGCTGGAACACTGAGTGTGGTCAGCAGCAGGGGGAATGTCAGGGCCATGTCATTAGATCTGGTCCTGTTTAAAATGCAGCAAAGTCTTAGAAAGCTTATTTTTTTGAGTAATTAACTACAGTTCAGGCTTGTTTTCACTGTTTTTTTTTGTTTATTCCATGGTGCAGTTAGATGGACTGAAGTAGTATGTTACTCTCCCCCCACCCCCAGTAAAGAGCCTAAGACAAACCCAGCTTGTCATTCTAGAGAGTTGAGTGAGGTGGAGGCTTTTTGCAATGCAAAGCTGAGGTATTGAAGGCATAATCTCCCTCATCTTCACCCCAGTGGCTCTGCAAGGGCTGTCCAGGCTCTTGTGCATGAAGATGCTTGTTCTCTTCCCTGGGGACCATAAAGAATGAGCCCACACTTTGCTACCAGCAAGCTGCAGGTGATCTTGGCCATGATTTATTCACACCCCCTGCCATTTGCTTACAGAACAGCAACAGGAAGACAAGGCTGCAGCTTTCAGACATCAGTTGTATTTAAATGCTGTGACATTCTGTACAGAATAAATGCCTCTCCTGAGCTTTAGTACAGTGGAGTTCAGCAACAGGGAAGTAAGAGAAAACAGCTGATAAAGCCTTTTCCAGTCAAATTACAACTCCATACACTCCACTTCAGTAGCCCTTCTGCAACACCAAGCAGGCACTTAGGATGGGCACTTGAGCTGAGGACATAATAGGCAAGTTACAAGTGGAAGGATAAGGGCAACAATTTAGTGAGCAACAACTGGTTTACAAACACATTGCACTAATTTACAAAGCAGTAACAGAAGTTAGAATGAATGTTTAATTCCAAATTCCTGCAATAAACACTCTAGGTAAAGTTCTTTCTCTGTTTGGAAGAGCAGTGCAGTTCTTAGCAGCATCATCACCAAGACCTGAGAGAGTAAAAACATCTCTTAGCACACTTTTTCAAAAGAAAAGCCACTTATCTTCCTCACACTTAGCATAACATGGCTTCCCCTGGTCTGAGGCAGTGTAGTTTCAGGATGTGGTGCAGGTATAAAAGTAGTAACACAGGGAACACCCTCCTTAAGTATTAAGGGGCAAAGCATGATTCCCAATGCCAGCTCCCCAAGTGGAAGTGCCCATCGCATTCCCACCCTCTACTTCCTCCCTCACCTGGCTACTCCAGAATTACCCCCCTCAAAGCCTTCCACCCAGCTCTAGGACTGTATCATATGGCCAAGGGAAAAGGGAGCAACAATTAAGTTACAGGACTGCTCGTGCCACAACTCTATCAACATGCTGTTCTCCAGCTTCACTTGCTGCAAAAGCCAACTGGTTTCAGAAGGAAACTGAGCAGCCTCAGCAGCCTCCTCCCTACATCTCAAAAACACTCTTATTCACTCCCGGAGGCCTTGCTCCCTAAGGTGTGTCTCCTCATAAATAGACCATAGCACACATCAAGTGTCCACGGCATCCTGCAGAGGATTTCTCTATGTGGTCACCGCGTTAAGAGCTGCTGGTTTTTCAGCCATGCAAACCCTCTTTGAAGTGACCTTGAATTTCTTTGTAGTACCAGTAGTTTTGCTGAGCACCCTTACCTTCAGCCTCACTTTGGTGGCACTCAGGTGTTTCTCAGCCCTCTGACATGCAGCAACAAGGTAGCAGACACTCTGCATGACAGACAGATTTGGTCAGCGTGAGTTCACAACATAAAGTTGGATGCAAACTGCACAGCACAGCCTTTTGTCACCCCTTTTTGCTCCGGTGTGCACAACCACCATCCTCTCAGCAGCAGCTCCTGGAGCCCAAGTTACAAAGGTTCTAACTAGAACTTTTCTCCCTGTGTAGCTCAAGTGCTGGAGGTGCCCCAGGCTACAGCCACACAGCTACAGCTCAGCAGGAGCTTGCTGTCATCGCAGCAGAAGAGAGCACTGTGTCTCTGACCTACGTAAGAGCTTTGTTCCCAGCAGACACACGGCCACATCACATGGCAATTCAAGAGTCTGATGGACTTGATTTATGGTCATGTCCACAACTCACCAGGAACAACGTCCTAGCAGCCTTGGTAATGACCAGGTACTCTCCTCTCACTGCTGTTACCACCAACTCAAACCTGGGACTTCAATCAGCATTTGAGTTGTCCCTTCTTGTTAAGGAAGGACCAATGAATCCTGCCAAGAGGTAGCCAAGCTGTGTACACCAACAAGCCTAAGATCTGTTAAAAGCTCCAAGCACAGAAGGATTCCTCACAACCAGTAGCAGCCCAGTGCACAAAGCAGTACTACACATTGCTGCACAGCTGTGACAGCCATTTACAGCACTGACACACACAAGAATGACTCATAGATAGGCAACCAGCTCAGATCCTGCCAAAATCTGGGGTGATCACTGCCCAGAAATCTCTGCACCTGGGCAACAATTTCTACACTTTCCTAGAACAGTTCACAGAAGCTTCAATGTTGGTCCTAGAGACACACCATCACCAAGGTCCTAGAGACACACCATCACATTCCACATTAACATAAGGAAAAGCTTTTTCCCTGTGAGGGTGACAGAGCCCTGGAACAGGCTGCCCAGAGAGGTTGTGGAGTCTCCTTCTCTGGAGACTTTCAAAACCCGCCTGGACACGTTCCTGTGTGCTCTGCTCTAGGTGGCCCTGCTCTGGCAGGGGGGTTGGACTAGATGATCTTTCAAGGTCCCTTCCAACCCCTAACTTTCTGTGATACCAAGCTAACACACAGCTACTGTGAAGCTGCATGAAACCTTCTGAACTGAAAAGTAGCTCAGTGCTTACCTGGCAAACAGGTTATCATCTTCCACAGCTTATCCTTTTAACACAGCAAAGTTCACTTCATTTTGTGTCCTAAAATTAGACAAAAAAACAACCACCTGAAGATACTTGCCAGTATCTAGTCCTCATGCTGTAACATGAAAATAGAAATACAAAGACTGTATCAGCAAAAATACCAGGTTTAACGGACACAGCAGAACGAAAACCAACGATGCCGAACGCTGAACTGCTCTAGCACTGTTTTTTGAACATCCCATCAGGAGAATGCTGCTGGGTGCAGATACCACACAGTGCGATGGCTGCGGTAGTTCTTCATCCACCGCAGCTCATTTTACATCCAAGCTTTGTGTATGCACCAGTCAGTGCCTAGGGCTAAGCTGCACCAAGGCTCTTCATTTCACACAAGCTGCCATGCAACTAAGAGGGAAAAGAGAGCCCGTGGTGTCACCTAATAGGAACAGCAGCTTCAGAATTCTTAAAGAATTCTCTTACAAGAACAAAAATGCTGCATGTTAATGAAGTTACTTCAAGTTCAGACAGACACCGTAGTGCTGTCTCTTCTTACCAATAGCCACCCAAACAACAATAATCACTCCTTTGTGATCAAATGTGGAATAGGCTGCTTCAAGCCATCCAGAAAACTCAAACTGCAAGAAATAGTGTTAGAAATCCAGTACCTACACAAAAATCTGGCTGAAGACTAAGTTCAGCCCATGTGATTCAACATGTTAGTTACACCTGAAGTCCCAGAACACACCATCTTTTTGCTCTTACCAAGCTTTTCCACTGGAATCATCTTTTTCATTTGTATCAAAGGCATTAAGTCAGTACCTAAAGGAGAACATAATGCATTATTACAGTTCCCAGGATGCTACGTTAAGACTTGTCTTGCAGTTTTATCCCACAGAGCTAACAGGTAGTTCAATGGGTAAAGCAAAACCACAAGTTTATTCTGTGAGGCGTTTCCAACGACACGAACCTACAGAAGAGATCCTATCGGGATAGACCTCAACATTTCCGGGACTGTAAATTAACACAATAGATAAAACCCAAGGAGACTGGAAAGGTATCTCTTCTAGATCCTACTAAGTGTCTTTTAAACTTGTTTCAAGACATCTGGGAGAAGTAGAATAAATGATATGCTAACATTTGGGGAAGATGAAGTAACTCCTTCACACTAGCAACAGTTTTAACATTAAAAGACAGTATTACCTGAAAAGCAAACAAAGGGCATTAACTACAAAATTGTACTCAAACAGAACTCTCCCTATAACCTTCCTGCTAAGTGTAACTTGTAGAAGCAAAACTATCAGTTTAAGCAGTTAAAGCTCCTCTTTGACAAAGTTGTATGAATGCTCTTTGGACAAATGAAAGTTAAAATAAATTCTTCACATAACAGACTGAATGCTACATTAAAACACAGTAGGATTGAAACAAGTCCCCGAAACCCTCCACAAATCAGTAAGCTCAATCTGATCGAGACTTCCAGCCACTGAAAGCCAGAGCCCTTCAACCATTAAGGAACCTCAGGTATCATACTAACCCTACTAGGGGCTTCAGACTTCTGCAAAATGGCATCCTGCATTTCTTACTTCCCGAAATGACACACCACCTGAAAAAGCAAGGCAAGGTCACAAACTGGCACGTACGTGCATACCAACCAGCAGAACCTAGAGCAGTACTTAGTACTTC